ACATGGAACCTTCGATATCACGTGAACCCGAACCCCTCATTTTTGGTCACTGTTCATGCACACGTGAAATGTTGTGTTTCAGGGAATTCTAAGCTTATTGTGAGCTTAGTGAGGTCCCAAGGAAGCTCGGAGTGCTTCGTTTGAAGGTTTTGGACGTCGGGATCACTAGGTTCGATTTTGGCCGGTTTTGCTTAAAATTTTTCCGGTGAGATTTAGTTGTTTTTGGAGCTTAAAAGTAGTGTATCGTGATTCTACATGTTTGGGGCTTCATTTTGGTATAAAATACGAAGAAAATGGTTAAGAAACGAAGGAGATCAAGGAGTTTCAAAGTTGGCCAGAAACCGGCCGCCGGAAAGTTCAGTCCGGCGAGCCAAGGTTAGGGATGATGCACGTGGGGGCGCGTGCGGCCTCCAAAAATTTATCTAAAAATTTCTCGACGTCCGTGACGTCGAGTAGGTCGATGTGGTATATTCATATACCCAAATTGAGCATCGTATGAGAAGTTATTTCGAATTATTGGTTATGTGTTTAAATTAACGTTTTTATAGTTGTTTCGCATATAGGTGACACCTATCCCGAGGACGAGCGCATCCAGGGACGTCACGGGGGTTACGACCCATCGACTTATCAGTGAGTGGGTAGTTTTGTTTTCGTATTACCTATATACTACTGTTTTTCCCAGAAAATGCGTTTATATGAAAATATGATTTAAATTGCCATGCATGTAACTGTTGAGTTATGAGTTGATAATTGATGCATATATATGTGTGAATTGGTGTCGTGGACGCACATGTGAGTATCAGGTGAGTTTATATGGTTTATATGAATGAATGATGATGTGATTGCGTTGTGAGCTCATAAACTGCACCTTTGGTATTAGTGCTTATAGTATTACCACACCGCACGCTCGCCTTGGATCCAAGTAGGTGGATGTCGTACAGACCACTAGAGGTGGTTCCGACATGCCAGTCGTACAGACCATTAGAGGGGTTCCGACTGGTGGGTGACTTTAGATTATGTGCACAGATGATTGATGAGAGAAGCACTAGAGCGTATTATTTCACCATCTTAGTCGTACAGACTACTATAGGTAGTTCCGACTTATGTGCAGTGTAGTGCCGTACAGGTCACAGTTGGTGACTCCGGCTTGATGGGATATTGAGCTATAGAATCAGCCGTACAGGACCACTGCAGGGTCTCCGGTTGATTTATTATTTCACCTGAGTTATATTGATGCATTCATATTATATTTTGGCATGGCATGGCATATTCTTTCTGAGATGTTATGTTGATAGATGGTAAGCTGAGTTTTGATGATTTATGTATATATATATATATATATATATATATATATATATATATATATATATATATATATATATATATGTTTATATATTATTTTTCTGGGAAAGTATACATGTTTTACGGTGAGGGGTTAGAAATGTTTTAAATGAAATGTTTTGGAAAATCTTTGTTTTACTGACCCACTCATCTTTGTTTTGCGCCCCTCCAGGTTCTAGTTAGGAGTTAGTGGCTCACGAGGTCTTTTTCGACATTCTGACAGACGTTGCATGTAGAACTCACCTGCGGGTGTTGTACTTTAATTATGGTCCTACTTGACTGCACTTATACCTACGCTCTGAATTCGTGTGTTTTACTTTATAACTCTCTCTTGTATGCTAGTAGGTTATGCTGCTAGTGGTTGGTTTAAATTCCTTCATATTTCTGTTATATCTTGCTTCCGTGTCGCACTTTGGCTACGTCACACTCACGTGACGGCCAGCACGCCTTGATTCTAAGATCGGGGTGTGTCATTTATTCTACTCATCCAATTTTATTTTTTTTAGATTTTATTTTTTGAAAAGCGCTCTTTTAGTAGATGTAGAAAAATGAATAGTTTGGATCGTGATATGACATTTCAATATTTACGGTTAACTAAAATATGAGTTGATGTTATATTGTTTCTAAAGACTTTATAAACTTTGAGCTATATTTTCACTAATGGTAAAACTCTGAACGTAATATCAACGATTCGAACCATTCATCTTCCTACATCCACCAGGAGACCAAGTTTTCAAAAAACAAAATTTGGTGAAAAGAATGGAGCGTAAATGTAAACGATAATCAACTGTTAAATTTAGATATATGGTTTATGTGATTATAGTGGCATATTTCGGAGTTGAGTCTTTCACGAAAGTTGTACACTTTTTGGGGTCAAATTATGTTTTTTCATTTTTATTATTTATTGATTTAAAATATAATTTTCTTAACAGATAACGGGTCAGGTCATGTTATCTAATAATATTAACGAGTCGATTTTGGGTCGGGTCATATTATCAATTTATTTTAACGGGTGTTACACGACACGACCTGTTAAGCTATCGGGTATGACAAGAACACGAAATACATGACACGAACGCTAGGTCTACTAACATTATCAGAAATTTACAAAATATAAAGAGACCCAATACTAGAATTAGAAACACATAACCAAGAAAATAAACAATGAAAGTGTGTGAAGTGAATTATGTATGTAGATTCACAGTAACAATAACACTACCAAACTTGAGAACCTGAAGTAAAGCAAGGTTGTTCAATTTGAGCAGTAGGATTTCTTTGCTTTCAGTTAAAAAATTAGGGAGTAAATCTCCAAATTAAGCTCTACTATTCTTGAACAATTGACAAGAATGAGGGAAAATCAGGATGCATTCATAAATAGTACTCCTTTTTCATGAGCTATTATAAATTTATAATACCGAAATGCAGTAATCCGACCACTACAAACGGCAATGCCATTACGGAATAACACAACTTTGTTCGGGTCAAGAACTTAAACACAAAACACTCAACTGTTTTATTTTATAGCTGTTTATTCTCACAGCACATTATAGCAGAAACAATTTCTTTTTAAATGTACACCACTACAAACTAGCCTTAAGCATTGCAATGTATTCAAACTATACCCAAAAAATTCACCACGGAAAATCCCATTTCTTAAAAAAAAAAAGTTTTAACAAAACACTCTTGATATTGTTCACTTTTAATGAAAAACCACATTATACATTTTCCTGGTACAATTCATTATACCTTTAAAAATGACTTTTCATTAAAATAGAAATTTTTTAAACTTTTCGTTAGTTTTCTTAAAAAAAATATTATAAAATCTTAAGTGGGCCAGAGACATAGAAGGCGAACTCTCTATTCGACATGGAAATCTTAGGTGGGCCTAAGACATAGAATGCAAACTCTTTGTCTTGACATGGACATTTTGGAGTGTACAAAGAAATATTTTAAGGTACTTTGTTTTTGGTCTTTGAAGATGACGAATTTTAAAATAGGTCCCACCGCAAAAGACAGATTTGCAAAACAATTAAATGGAAATCATATAACGGTGCCGGGTGGGACCCATCTCATACCCCACATTTGTCCACATATTTTTGCGCATGACGCCCTCGAGTCAAACTTTATCCTTTCTATTTCCCAAATTTGATATATTTTCAAAAATGGCACATTTTTATTTCTCTTTTTACCTTTTTATCCCCAAAGTAGAAAAAAAAAAATTGTTACTAGTTTTCTCCATTCCCATTTGTGTATGCGACTAGTGAGCATGCAATGAACAAAACATGCTCCCAAGTGTTGTCCAAAAATGGACGATTTTGCATACATGATTTGGTGAATAATCCATCTAGATTCTGAAATTAATTACTATTACCTAATAATTGCAGATAGGAGGTTGAAATTTGAATGCAAACAAAAAAAATTAAGTCTCAAAGGCAATGTGATATTTCCCACTATTTACAATTTTGTATTTCATCTATTTTTCACAATTTTCCCAACCAAAAAAAAAAAAAATTCAACAAAGTAAAATCTTCAAACTAGAGAGTGTGATTGAAGTTGAATTTTTTAAGGAGTTCCTAACGTAACTTTATAGCTAAAATTTAATTAAAAAATAGATAGCATGATTTGAGATATTCTTAGTTAAAGTTTAATTTGGAACGAAGACTTATATTTGCATCAGTTGCTGGTTCTTGTGGCATTGGTGAAACAAAAGTATTTTTGAATATGATTTTGCTCTCCCAAATGATCCAAATCTATTATTATTACCTACTTAAAAGATTGGTTTCGAGGGAAGATGGTTTCCTCCGTAAGCCCCTTCTAACACATGCTTTTCTTCATTTGGAACCTCCTCCTGAAGGTTGGGTAAAGCTTAATGTTGATGGATGTTGCAAGGGGTAGGCCTTCATTTGTGTTAGCGATGTCCTTAGAAACTAGTTGGGGCACGAGTTTCTAGCTTTTGTGATAATCTTGGTCGAGGTGTGATTCTATGTGTTGAAGTTTAGGGTTTTCATTGGTTGCAACGTATGGAATAATAGAATTAAGAAGATTATGGTGGAATCGGTTTCTGTACTTGCAATAGGGTAGATTTTACATGCAAAAGTGGATAATCACCTCTGGGAAGTACTGAATTGTCGCGCCCATATGCATCACAGTTGGTCTATGTGATGATTCGGCTCGTTTGAGTTTGTCATGAAGTTTTGGGTCCAATCTCTTTTTAGCAAGATTCTCCTTCTTGTCGTCGATTGTTAATTGCAGATATAGCTAGTGTCTCCTGACCTCATAATATTCTTATTTAATCTTTCTTTTTCTTTCGTACTTTTGCCTCGTTTTCAACCAAAAAAAAGGTTTAACTTGAAAATAGGGAGTATGATTAGCGATGTTTGTCTATAACTTGTCACATAATTGAACAGTAAAAAATATTATTTAACATCTATTGGTCAATTTGTATTTCTCTTGCCAATATTGAAAGGAGTTATAAATTCGAATTTTACATTAAATGAAAAACTAAGTTGCAAAGAAAAATTAAAGACCTGATTGAGGTTGAATAGAAAAAACATTAACACATTCGAGGACAAAATCATTATGGGAGTAAAGTTGAAAACAATATCGATGATAATATAATGGGTAAGCCAACAGTTCTTCTGCTAACAAGGGCGTTTCTACGGTCCCAAAACGAAGAAAAGCTCACATTACCAAAACAAGCCCACTCCAACAGATCAGCCCAATACTACAACATGCATACCGAATTCTTCCGAGCAAAGCACTACCAGGTGCTTCATTATCATCGGTCGGAGATACTCAGATGCAAGAGGAGGAGACTCCGGAGAATGGAAACGGCAGTAGCGGTGGGTCCCAGACCCACTTGTGGTGGGCGGTGCCACGCGGCTCAGCTCGGTTGGGCCGTAATGTCGTCCCGAAAAGCCTGCGCCGGCAACTCCTTTACGATGCCATTCAAGGCCTTCGCAGTTGCTTCCCTCTACATCGGCTCCATCGCCACCGCGGGCGTCGCTGGCATCCGCAAGGTTAGCTTCCCATTTCTCGCTCTCAGTTTCCTAGGGGTATATCAAATTATTTTTATCGGAAATTCTTCCTTTGGAAGCATTGCAATTTGCTACACTGTATTGCTTGTGTAATCTGTAATTACAATTAGGGATTTAGGGTCTCCACTTGATATTATGGTACTTTATATTTATATTTCTGCCCTTTTGTGAATATTAAGATCATATGCTCCTCAGTCCTCAGCACCTTCAGTACATTCAGAATATATATATGTGTGTGTGTGTGTGTGTGTGTGTGTGTGTGTGTATGTGGATAGATGTAGTGAAAAAGTACTCTCCTTTACTAAATAAAACAATGGAAATTGTAATGTTCGGTATATTGTGAACTATGTAGTGAGAGACTAGTTTCACTGCTGGAGGGAGAAACCGAAAAATGAGTGAATGATGCGTAGCTGTGGTCTCCTGGGAAGGAAGGAAAGTTAGTGGAGAAAGGAGTAAATTGAATTTCCTTTGTTTAGGTGTCATTTGGTGCAATAAGTGTCAATCAGATTCTAGACCAACGCAGGTGGTTACTCATCTTTCATTTCCTTTTTGTCTGTTTTGTTCTTTTGTGATTTGGGGTCGTAGCATTTTTTAGGTAATTTCCCTGGATTTTTCTTGTGTACTTCTTATTTACTATGACTGTGCCAACCCCCTTTGTGCTCGTCTGGTTCTAAGAGACTTTTCGTTATCCTTTGTTCTTCTTCCTGTTCCTTTCCAATTCATGGAGGGAGAGGTCGGGTATTGTACAACTACTTAGCTCGAGTCTGGACCTCTTAATTTGAGCCTTTAAGCCGAAATCATGTTTGATGCTGAATTTATTGGTATTTGTTATGGGGTTCTGTGTAGTACAAGTAGATCCGTTAAACTGCTTTTCCTCGTTTCTTTTTCACACCTTGTGGCCCTTTGAGCTGCGTAATTACCTAATTTTAGACACGGTAAGTTTGCCAAGTCACTCCCCTGTCTTCACTCAACATTCTTTCAAACCTCTGACCTGATCCGAATTCTAGGTTTCCTGACTGCAAAGTAGCTACCAGAGTGGAACAACTTGTCAGGTTTGCTATCTAGATTGTGCAGTCCTTGTTCCATCTACAACTCTTTGTACCTTTTCGGTCGTCGGGAAAACATGAACAGTAATTACTGTTCGAGTCTCCTAATCTTCCAACCCTGTTACTTCTAACTCTTAAAATTCTTACCCTCTACCCTGAAATGAATCATAAGCTTCCTAGTTGCAAACTAGCTACGAAGAACAACTTCTCACGTTGTATGTTTTGATACTTAATTTCATCTTCTAGCTGATACTTGTTGTATCCTTCGAAAACATACAGTACTGAAGGTGTCCTAAAGGAACTGATTTACCACTTTTTTCAAAACCTTAAATAAGTTCTTCCTTGCTGTCTAAATTTAGATGGGAGATCTAGGCAGACAAGTCAAGGGACTTAATTTAGATGTATGTTTGGTTTGTTTTTAATTTCTCATAGTTTCTTGTACGTCTTTTGTTGTGATGCGTTTGTAGGCATTGAAATTTTGGTGAAATAAATATCGCCAACAAATTAAGGTTTTTTGACATGTCAGGGCTTACGTGGCATATGTCACGTGTCTCACAAATTAGACACATAGCATGTGACTCATCAAGAAACCGAACAAGTCATCAAGGGTTTCACATTTCGACATTTGGCGTGGCATGATCAAATTAAAGATGAAATGTGAAAGATAACTTGATTAAAGATTATTTGATGGGCTCAAGTCACGAACCAAGCCTAAAGCAAGGCTCGGTCCATTCGTCAATTAACCAAGCCCAAATCAAAATCAAGCCTACATCAAGACGAAAAGTCTATAAATATGAGGCTCCAAGACAAAGAAGGGATGCTCAGAAAACATATTTTTCACACTCAGATGCTCAAGCCTCCAAATGCTCTCCAACACTAAGAAGAATCAGAAAGTTCTCTACATTCTTCGCCACACTCGTGAAGAACTATCAACCACTGCTACACGTGCCAGTTCTTCCGTTTTCACAATCCAAATCCTTGCGGCTTTTTATAGGTTCGAGATCAAGTCGCTACGACCCTCAAATCACTCACTCGACATCTACACTTTATTTTCGAAGATCAAATCAGAGGAGTCAAATCTTGTTACAGAGTTTGTAACCCTAAATTACATTAATACAAATATTATTTGTACATGTGTTCTTCTGTCATTTTTTATCACAGAATTTTCGTGTTTACAACGTTCAAGCCCTCTATTTTATATGGACATCCTATTCCAGTTGCGATTGTGGTGACAGTTAAAATAATAATAATAGGTCGGTTCATTCTTGTGACAGCCCGTCCCTAATTTTAAGAATTTTTAAAGTTTTCATAAAGGATTTTACAAAAATACCCTTTTAGGCACGCACATCATTCGAGGTTAATCGTTGTGTCGTGCCATCTAAGATTGGTTTTCTTGACATATCATCGTAGTACTCGTCGTTACGGACGCGTGGGCGCAGACGGTTCGTGATTTGGAGTTATATCGAAGAAGTTATTAACGTTTGAAATTTGGAATTTTAAGGAATTATAATTTTAGTAAAATATAGAAATTCTTTTATGAAATTGGACGGCCCAGATTTATTGATGAATGAAATGGATGGCTGGGATGAGGGAAAGGTTTTTGGTGTGTGTATGTGTATGAGAAGAAGAAACAGAAAACAGAAAAGAAGAAGAGACTGGGCAGAAATGCCCAATCGGAGAAGAAGAAGATGAGAGCGAACCAGAAGAAGGGAGAGGAAGAAGCTGACCAATCAGGGGAAGGAAAGGAGGGAAAGGAGGGTGAGTGGTGCACGGAGGAACAGGAGAAACGGGTCCGCGCGACCCGCAACCTCCAATCGGCGGGTTTTCGCCATTTCCGTCCAAATTTCCGACGAATTGAGTCAAGGTACCACTCCTAATCATCATCTAGACCTTCCCTCTTCACGTTTCACCCCAAGAATCATTGAATTTCGTTGTGATTTCGCGAAGAACACCCCTACGGGTGCCGCGACCCTTTTGTTTAAATTCTCCAAATTTTGAAATGTTTTCTTTCAATTACTAACACCTTTAGCATTCCTTTAGGACCTAGAACAAAGCCCAAGAGGTAATTGAGGCGTTGGAACAAGTTTGAAGGTCGAATTGGAAACACCCAATTCTAGGGTTCTTCACGGTTTTGGTGAAATTGAAGCACTTCCAGGCCAAATTGGCCTTGGCCTCAGGTATGAAAGTTGTTCTACTCATTGAGATCTTCAAATCTGCAAATTTTGGTAATTTTTTGAAATAGTTGAATTTTCCGGCGAGCCGGGGCGGCCAACCGCCACCCGCGGCGGCCCGCGCGGCGGCGCGTGGCCAATGGCCCGCCAATGTCATTATTAGCTTGTGATTAAGGTTCTAGGTTCTGTTTTGATAATTGATGGACGTAAATTGAATAATTGAACCTAAGTTGGTTACGATTCGTGGTTAGGTGAAAATGTGAATTGACGATCCGACCGTTGGATGATAATGAAATTTTAGGATGTTGTCCTAGAGGTATATTGTGGACCTCTGGAAATTACGGATTTGAAATCTGAGTTGCAGATCATCCGGATCGAATTACGTAGTGACGTGTCTTATATAAGTTATGTATTCTATCGGCAGGATTTCTGAGGTTGAGTTTTGATTATTGTTCTAGGCGCTAATCTTCATGACGCCTTGATGTGTGGTGCTAGGGAGTTGTTGGGCGAACTCCAGGTGAGTGGGCAGTTTTGTTTTTGTACTACCTTTATACTATTGATTTTTTCCCAGAAAATGAATTTATATGAAAATATGTTTTAAAAATGCCATGCATAGAATTATTTGGAAAAGGTGAATTTCACATGAGTTATATGATTGATATATGATGCATACATGTTGCATGGTGCTGTGGAGGCACAGGTAAGTCAGGTGAGTTCATTTATTCATTGAATTGTTGTTGTTGAGATGTGTTGAGCTCATAATCTGCACCCTAGGTGTTAGTGCTTATATTATTCACCACACCGCACGCTCGTCTTGGATCCAAGTAGGTGGATGTCGTACAGACCATGTGAGGGTTCCGACATGCTAGTCGTACAGATCACTAGGCGTGATTCCGACTAGTGGGTGACCTTAGTTATGCGCGCTGATGATATGATGAGAGAAGCACTAGAGCGTATTTTTACACCTTTCATCGTATAGACTACCTTACGTAGTTCCGAGTGATGTGCAGAGTAGGGCCGTATAGGTCACTGTGGTGACTCCGGCTTAGTGAGATATTGAGCTATTGAATTAATCGTATAGGACCAACTGCAGGGTCTCCGATTGATTCCTTACTTCACCTGATTTATATTTTGATTTATGGCATGGCATGTTTTTCTTGAAAAATGTTAAAGATTTGGGATTTAAGTTTGAGACTTCATATGGTTTTATATATATATCTACTTTTTCTGGGAAAGTATACAGGTTTTACGGTGAGGGGTTAGAAATATTTTAAATGAAAAGTTTTCGAAAAACTTTGTTTTACTGACCCACTCAATTTTGTTTTGCGCCCCTCCAGGTTCAAGTTAGCAGAGCTTTGGTGGCCACGAGGAATCCAACGGTGTTCTGACAGAATTCACAAAAGTATGACTCACCCTCGGGTGTGTTATCTTAGTAATCGGAAATTTTTTTTAAGCTTCCGAACTGTGTAAATGGTTACGTCACTCTCACGTGACGGCCAGCACGCCCTCCTTCGGGACGGGGTGTGTCAATTCTCATATCTTATGTAGACAACAATAATCAAGATCATTCTACGTCACATGATACGTGTACTGACATGGCTGCACCTTCTTTTGCAGGCGGGGGATCTCGTAGAGCTTGGTGCAAACCTAAGAACTGGACTTGGGGTACCTCGGAGGACGACGAGGGATGAATGAGCTTTTATTTTTTGGTTGAAATAGTTTTAGGTTTCGAAATGCAGTTTTTGTCATATATAAAACCCACACCTGGGTTGGATTTTCATCTTTGTTCATTTTATTTTAATTGAATACTCATTGAGAAGTATTTATCATCTCTTGAGTCATCACTTTCACTTCTCCATTCCATTTACAGTGCATTTACAGAGGTGTAATTTGAAATGCTCGTCAGTTGATTCGCAAATGTCATTCGCTTCCTCGGCATTTAGAGGAAAACGTTCCAGTTTGAACACATTAACCGTTCTTAGCTTCTCTTGTCAGAAAGTAAGAGGACAGAGTGGAAAGAAGGAAAAGAAAAGAAATGAAAAGGTTGTTCTTAGTTCCATCCCAAACTGCGAATTCCACATTTAAGACGATGATTACTTGATTAAGAAGTAAACAGAAGCAACATTGGTAGTATTGAAACGACGTCGCTGTCCAACTATTCATGCCATATCAATATTGAACTTTGCACCAATACATGCTAACGTCCAATTTCAACTTTTGGTGACCTAATGAGTCAGCCTGTTTTTGCCCCAGAAACATTTTTGTTTGAAGTGTTTTTACTAGAAAACGTTAAATTAGAATTCCAATGTTTTCTGGAAAAGAAAAAAAAAAAATACAACTTCAATCCGTGGTTCAAGAGGGTTTTAAGTTTTTCAGTCAAGTCGTCTTAAGCAATTTGATATCTAATTTGTCATCATCGTGAGATCTAAAGTAAGTTATATAATAAGTTAACTATAATAATTTGATACCAAACTCGTCATTTATGGATAAGGCATCTTAGCTACTATAATAATAAAAATAAAAATACCACTAAAGTTTAGTTCTAGACGCCACTCAGTACTACGGTTTTGTAGTATTCCTCTTCGTTTAGAAATGAGAGGTTTTAGGTTCGAATCTCGTTGATGACTAATTTGATATCAAACTAGGCTGCCTATTGTGTGGTTTAGCCTAACTTCTTCTTATTCTAATATAAAAATATCGATGTATTAAAAAAATATATATTTCTAGACTGACCCTATAAATAAAGAAATGAGTGAATCAAGCCTAAGCATTTAGCATGGGTATACGAAAAGTTGGATAAAATAACAAACAGTAAAAAGGAAAACGAAAAGGAAAAAGAAAAGTATAGGACGACGAAAGGGTTTTTTGCCTTTTGGGGTCTTGTCCTCCCCTTCCCTCCCTTCCTCTGTTTCCAATGTTCACAGGCAGCGCCAACCCTCATTCCCTATTTTCCTTCCCTTACCACCAGGTAACTGTAACCCTAACATAATGTATACATTTGACACTCTAAAATATAGAATTTGTTATTGACACTCTAAACTTTTTATATTTAAGAAGAAAAATATATTTGTGAAGAGGGCAAAATAAAATTTTTAGAGTATCAATAGTAGTTATATATATATATATATATATATATATATATATATATATATATATATATATATATATGTCATTGATATATGTGTCTGTGCGCTCAGCTAGTTCCCTTGCTTGAATACGGGAAGAAAGTTGACTTCTTCCTTTTATCTGTGGTTTTTTTATTGTGTTTGATTTTTTTGAAAGTCAGTAAAACAGAAGAAATGAAATACTCTGCAAATGTATAAAATAGACTATATGTTTAATGGCGTATAAAGTAAATAAGGCACAATACTTTCAAGGTTCAACAAGTGTAACTTCGTCCTCCTCAGGGCAACACCAATAGTTTCCGTCATTATCTGAAACAATAGTAGTACAGAGATAACACTCAGTTTTAGTGTATATAATCTCACTAAAGCAGCTCACTATTTTTCTCTCCTCTCTAGTCTTAGGTAGCACTGTTAGATCTCACATTGCCCAGGGGTGGATCCTCTATACCTTGTATGTACATG